GTGGATTCTTGAAGGGCCAGAAACAGGGTGGCATCAGTGTTTTCGAATGATTTCGATTTCAGAAAGTACCCTTCTGAACAACTTCCTTTAATTATATTTAACCTTACATGTTGCAATGTTTTGTTTCTGTTTATTATTTCTTGTTCAGTAATTGGCATTTCAGTTTTTCAGCAAGACCTCTTAAGACCTGTTTGTTGCTTGTTGTACAAAATGAGTGATGACAACAGCATTGTGAAAGTCTCAGGCAGATGATGGGCGTATGCTGTCCAAGAATTCAATCTGATCGTTTAGAGCACTTTTAAAATGTGCTCCAGTTTTTGAGAGAGCTGCTCTTTGCTTCTAAAATGCTTTTATAAGTGCAAATGTAGACACAAAAATGAAAGAGTCATGAAAAGGGTTTCAAAACTGGGAGAGAGTGTTACCCTCCAAATAAATCTCAAAGAATCTTTTTGTTCATTTTGATTCGGCGCGCCACCCAAACCAGGCAGTGGTTCTGCATGGATGGTAAACTTGAGTTGGGAAAGAAAACAGCAGGATTTTTATTCGCCTAGCTGCTGACAGAGCGTGTAAATTCTGATGCCCTTTTATCTCAATGCCAGTGGAAAGTTGGAGTTTCGGTCCCACCTGTGTTTTGTCTGTGTAGTTTGGTGGTGTAAGGCTTCCAGATAACTGAGGTGTTCATTTGCTGCAGTGCGTCATGCTGCGAGAGGCATTTTTGCATGACCAGAGGTGTTATATATACATGTCATCCCACCAAACTGTGATGAGTAAATGTGACTCATGTGAGCTACTGCAGTTGAAGACTCGCACTGTAGTATAGTTATTGGATGCGAAGTTACACAAGGCTGGAATTCCCTGGATCAGTGTTATGTGGAATTCCTGTGTCAGGAATGCTTGAGCAGAAGAGAGCGATTAGACTACAAGAGGGATTAGTTGCACTGGAAAAAGAATATTGCATTCAGTGAGCTTCCTGTTAAAACAGCCACAAGTCTTTCTTTTCACAGTATGAGCATTTGAGCAGTCTGTTTTGATCATTGCTAATGTAGTTGTTCTTTAATTTTCTTATATCTCCACTGGCTATATAGAAGGCACAGCTATAAGATAAGCATGGGAACATTAGTCAGGGGAACTCACAGATACAGTATAAGAGCCTGTAGGTGGATTTCTAAAATTGCATGCTGAGTTGTGTAACTTTAGAGTCTGTTCCCCAAGGTGGCCAGCTTAAGGCATTGTGTTCAGTTTCTTCTACATCCTTTTTTGCTGATGGCTGTTTTCTAGCCCTACAGATGCTTTAGATCTGGTCCCAGCTGGCTCCTGATTAAACTCTGGTCGGTCCTGAGGGACACTGATGGCTAAGTATAGAAGAAGGCTGGTAGCTGGTGTCTTTATAATTGGGGGATTCTGGGTTTGGGGTTTAAGAGGTCCTATTGCATGTCTCATTGTTGAAATGACCTGCCATACATGCCAGCCTGCCCAAGTCATAGCTAAACCTTTAAAACCTTTCAATTATTAATGAGCCTCCCCTGGTAAAGTGCTGTTCCGTGTGGCATTTTGTTTTATGCTCTTCCTGAAGGCCGGTGCTGTGGACTGGGGCGTATTTATAGCATTTGATTTATAAACCTTCGCACTGACTTCACTTATTCCATCCAAAGGGCATCTGGGAGTTTCTGAGGGAAACGGCATGGTGTTGCTTTTTTGCTTTTCCAAGAGAAAGTGCCTGTTTGCAGTTGGATCGCCTTTGCTTGGGTCCCAGCGTTACTTGACCGCGGGACTGTGGGAAATAAGGCGGACAACCCCACAGTGTTTTGTTTGGATCTGGCCTTGGGCGTCGAGTTTGAAAACACAGCGGCCTGTGGACCAGTTTAAAAAGGTCGTCTCCCAGAGGCCAGGCCTAATGCGTTTTACTGTAATGCACATCTTTCTCTTTTTCTGAAGTGAAAAGTCCCCCTTTTTTTAAAGAGTAAAAGAATAGTTTAACATTAACTGCTGGAATGTTTCAGTGAGGATAATTGGGGGCACAATTTTTGCCTGAGTGTTAAAATGAGGCTGCCATAGACATTAATTGAAGTACATAACTCAGCCCCTGGCAATTTTCACATGCTGCTTTTCATTATTCAGCGTGGGTCTGCATCTCAGCACCTGTTTGAAGAAACGTGATCTCTCAGAGAATTCTTTTAGTGTGTGATCATTACTCACAGTCAGGAAGGACTCTTTAATGGAGAATATTCTCCGTGTGGAACAAAGCCTCCAGTGCCTAAAGTAGATCTCTGGCTGCAGTGTCTTGAATGTTCATTTTGTGTCATCTGATTAGAATGTGCTTACTCTTGACTATTCCTGCTCTTTGCTGTGAGTCTCCTGCTTCACACATGTACGTCTACAATTGATTAAGAAACAATAGCAATACGTGTCAAATAAAATCCGCACTGCCGTAGCTTTACAGCACTGGGAAGCTGCTAGAATTTGACGTGGCGCAAGATACTCCTGTGCAGCTCGGCTTGGGTTGTGTCTCTCCGTGTGGTGTGGTGATGGTCTGTATGGGGTGATGTGACCTCAGATGTCCTGTGGATACTGGCAGGGCAGGCTGTTATGTACAAATGTTAAATGTGTCATTTGAAAATGGGGGTAAGTAAGTTTCCGAGAGGATGGATGTTTTAAAAAGGGGCATAACGGAAGCGTTCAAAATGTGTTTCTGTTGTTTGTGTTTGTTAGGGGTCTTTAGACATGGTCAAGTGGTCCTGGACATCCATCGCCTTGTTTTACAAGGACATACAAGAACATATATTTCTATGGGACAAAATCTATGTCTTTTCACTATACGACACACTTTTTTCAGGAAATTAGAAAGGAAGGGTCATAGGGACCAGTTGCACTGTATGGAATACAATGCAAATGGAAGATAAGATGGAAAATGTGACAGATGGCAAGGGGCCCCATTTGAAGTACAGGGAGAGGTTGAAGGTCCATCCAGTTTGTTTACTGGGCTGTGCAGTGCTCATTACAGCCGTTTTCTTTTTACACTCATCAAAGTAGAAATAACAGCGGAGAATCAAGCAGTATGCCATACCAATGTAGCACGATTTGAAATAACCAAGCAGCTGAGTTGCAGGAAGATTCTGATATAAACAGCTCGTTGTCCTTAGAGTGACAGAAACTCTTGAGAAAGGATTTAGCACTGGAACACTTCTGTGGAAATGCTAGTGGCCTTCTGAACAAGGCAGGTTGCAGAGAACCTGTTCCAGCTGCTGGCGGTCTGACAAGTTATACCTGTATTCAGGTGGCGGAGATCACCTGCTTTACTTTCCTCCCGTTGCTCTTAGCAGCCGCGCTGGAGCCTCGCTGTGTGTTTTCTGTACACATGCCTCTATCATTTAAGCTCAACAGCTTGTGCACATCACTCCTGTGCCTCAGCAACACAGGTCTGCTGCAGAAATGTGTTTCCCAGTTGGGGTGAGTTGTAAAGCAACACAGGAAATATGAAAAAAAAATAGTAGAGCTTGGTGGAAGTTCACAGTGACTCTACAAGCCTGCAACAGCTAAATAAACCAATCTGGTTTCCAGGTCCCCTTGCCATCTCAGTGATATGGTTCCACATGTTTGTATGCAGTATTACTTTTCATATGTTTACTTGAAAGCAACACTGCATTATTGTTGCTCACATCTTAGTTTCCTTGGGTCTTCGTCCCCCATGCTGCTTGCACACTTCGTCGCCTTCTGCCCCTCATGTGGGAGTGTTGAAAAGCGTGCATGCTTGTCTCGCTGGCATCTTGGCTCCTCATGGAGCTCCACCGTGCTCCGCCTGGCCTGGAGCTGATCATGGGGGGAAAAAGAAGGGAATCTGAAAAGGCCGGAGAACAGACCGGAGTAATGGTCTTTATCTTGTCCGAAAGGGATTCATTTTGCTTTGCCACTTCAAATCTGAGCTGGGGCCAGCTGGCGAAATGAACGCACTGCAGAAAACGGGCGGACTCTGTAGCCTTCAGCCTGGGCCAACCCGTCTTTGAAACGTAATAAGGTCAATAAAGTACAGTTGCACTGTCAGTACTCCTGTAATATTGAGTTGCAGAAACCTGCTGCACACTAGGGGATAATAAATAATGAATACGGGAAAATTCTTAGAGCAACTTGTTTTGATGTTTTTTTTCCTAGCACCTTGCTGTAATTGTATATGAAAATCAGGGCTGCCTGGCTTCTCCTTCCATCTATCAGTATTCTAGACTCACACTTCTCTGTCCTGTTTATGTCTCTACATGGCTTCTGCTGAATTCTGGAGTTGCAGGATAAAAGATCGATCTGTGTAGTCTAACACAAATTCCTTCTGTATGACCCTCTGCTACAGCAAAGACTGGTGTAGGGCTTCGCAGGTTAAATGCTTCACTAGACAGGCTTCAATTCACATACAGAATGAGGTTCAGGGAATAGATTTCATATATCAACGTGATGTACCAACATCCTACTCTGTGGTGGGCGGAATGGTTTTAAAAAAGGAACTAAAACGTGAATACCTTTTTTGGCCCTGTGTGTTTTATTTTATTTATCGTGGCAAGGTTTTTAGAACGATTCCAAATCATGCTGCTTAACTGTTCTTGCTGTACAGACAGAAAGTGACAAACAAGCGTGTGGTGCTTACACTTTGTCTGTTAAAATAAGAGCCAGGTAGAAGCAAAGAAAAGGTTCCGTCCGAGATCCGTGAGGGGCCGGTGTCCCGCGCCGAATCAGCCCAATAACTGAACCACTTGCTTTCAGCACTTTTTGAAAACTAAAGTAATTTTAAAGTAACTCAACATACTATGAATATAAACGAGTGATTCAAATTAGGGATTGAAATTTATCCTGGAGAGCCACAGGTTCATCAAGTAGATGTCCTTTAACCCTGCAAGGATCTGGGTCTTGAGTGCTAGAGCCCTGACCGGCTTAAATAGACATAAACAGCTGAGAAGTTCAATGACATTGATGAGCTAACAAGTTCCCTTTTCTTGTTCTGTCACCTTGCTGTCTTTCAGGTGTCGAGCTGTGAGCACTTCCCCTACTCGTGAGCCAATGTGGGCTCCTGCAGCGAGTGTCCCTGCTGCGTGCTGAAGAGAGGGCCCGCGGGGTGGGGTGGGGACAGGGTCCGGGGGCCGCCAGCCCTCTCCAATGAGTGTTCTGCGTGCCTGAGCTCCTGCCCCGGGCACAGGTTTGGTCTGCTTTCCGGCGCTCGGGACTATTCGGCAGCTGGCACTGGGTTGGCCGAGGGCACACCATGGATCACCCCAGCCGGGAGAAGGAGTCGGAGCGGCCGCAGAGGAGCAGCAAGGTGACGCAGGGGCGGAGCGGCCACAGTCGGCCCTCCAGCTCCACCGCCTCCTCCGGGGTGCTCATGGTGGGGCCCAACTTCCGCGTGGGCAAAAAGATCGGCTGTGGCAACTTCGGCGAGCTGAAGCTGGGTGAGTGCTGGCCCGCTGTGCTCCGAAAGGGTGGAAGGAGCAAGGTGTCAATGCATACGAGGCTGGTTCACGTCCTGCACTCGGTCTTCTTCCACTTCCTGATCCAAGAGCGAAACAGCCCTGACTCTCGGGAGCAAAGGAAAACTAAGATACGTTTCCCAGGCCGAAAGTCGATTTATTTTATTACATTTTTGATTGTTTAAGTACACGAGATTACAAATGTCATTTTAATAGATGCAAGGATCTCATCCAGCTTTCTCATGAAAGAAGAAGGGTATGGGCTTCAACAACGTGGCTGAGTGGTGTGTTTCATACTCCCACAGCCCTTTGGGTAAGGAAGTACCTGGATTTAGGTTTTAAAAGTACTTCCTCAGCTTAATCCATGTTTAATTCAAACAAACTGTTCCTATGCTTACAGCACTGCCAGGAGTTTATTGGGGTTTACTGCAATCCCAGTTGGACAGTAGTGTTTATAAGGATCTAGTACAGATTTATTCCATGCTGAAAAGAGCAGCCAGTTTTGGCTGTGTTTCTATTCACGGACACTGAAAAGTAAGAACTGCAACCCTGTTTGTATGACAGAAACCTAGCGTATTAATTTGTTAGCATGCTTCTCAGTTTTTCCACAGTTTGTGGCCTTTAGCTGGAAGCCATCAGTCCTTAATGCTTCAGCAGTATAGATCCGACAGCCTTTCAAATCACGTCAGGCAGCCTCTGGATTCAGACGTGGAAGTAAGGATCGATTTGCTCTGTAAATCATCTCTAGAAACGTGCAGTGAGCTGATCTTATTTCTTGGAGGAAAAAAAAATCATCTACCTCACTTTCTACAGCCTGTGAATGGAAGCACTTTCCTTCCGGCTGGTGTGTGCCCGGCTTGGCGTCTGCGTGGAGACGAGAAAAGAAAGAGAATTATAGATGGCTCTGCTGCCAGTGCACAGCACCGCAGCTGTATTTCAGTTGGGGAACTGATTAATTTATAAATCGCCAAAGTGAACCTGAGGTAATTTGTATGGTAATTCACAGCCCCAGAGATGAGAGGCTGCCAAATATTGGTCTACAGATGCACGGCACTTAATTTGCTGGAAAACGGAGTGCCTCTCTGAAATAGGATTTTGTGATGGAGAATCTGTTGTTTTTTGCTGTAATGAGTTTGCTGGTGTCGAAATGATGTTTTCTGGGGGGTTCGTTTTTAAAGCTGCAAGGATTGTGCTGGCCTTCGAGGATAAGGTCCTAAATGGAACAGAGAGAGCAATTTCAATGACCAGGATCCCTGACTGACAAGGTCAAAAATATTGAGTATTTCTGGGTTTTATCCCTTGTTTCCCTGCCATGTGTCTTGTCTGGTCTAGCTTTATAATAGGGCATGGGGTGTCCTTCCTCACAAGCACACCTTGCCTCGCTCTGGGCACACACGTCCTCGTTGTGTTGAACGCCAGTGGTCCTCCTGCGAAGAGGTTAGCTGTCTGCTTGTGGCCCTCGCTCTCATTCTCCCATCACAATGCTTGAGAGGTTACAGGACAGATATCTTCAAACTCCCACTTCATCCTTCAGAATATGGTGCAGAGTAGTGCAAGACTGAAGATAGGAGTTGACAAAGCAAGCATTTTGTCTATAAGGGTGAACACCCTGTTTTGTGTGTGCAGAGAGAAATAGTCTACAGTTTTGTGTGGCCGTGTCAGGACCTAAGAACAGCCTGTGTAGCATAACTTGTGAGACATTGCTACTTTAAAAATGCACCAGGTGGGAAAATATAACAATAGAATGCTTTCTCTCTGTAGATTTATTTTATATTTTTATTCCATATTTGTTGGAGCTTCCACATAAAGGCTGAGACAGCCCACTGTGTTATGCTGACCTGAGTGAAGGGTTTTCTAGGTGAGTTCATGAGGGCTATATGGTTCAGTCCCTGTTTCCGTTCGGCATGTTGTCCTTATCTGACACTGCTGTGCGCTCAAGCGCTGCTGGTGTCGAGAGCCACATTTTTTTAACCTGGAGGCTGCCTTTTTAGTTTTTTCCTCACAGGTTCATTGCCAGAACTGGAAGGCTGAATGCTAAAGAAAGCAAGAGCTTTCTGGGGCTGCTTTTCCAAACACACACAGGCTGGTAACACACCTCAAGAGTCCACGGATTCAGTACTGGGCGATGATTAAGCTGTCACCTTTATTAAAAACAATAGAAAGGTTCTGATTAGATTGGGAGGATGGAGTTCTTCATCCACAGCAGGCCTGGTACAATTTTCTGCGCAGGTTTATTTGACTGTTCGGAGTATGCCAAGCTTTTTAATTTTCAGTTGTACTGATTTGTGGGCTGATTCTCAGTTCTAAATTACTGCACAGTTGTGAATCTGATTAATAAACTCCGTTTTATACCAGCAGCAGCAGTGAGTAAACGTTGACCAATGGATGATTCTGTCATTTAGTGTAATCTGGCCTGGCAGCCATTGATTTTTTAAGACCATTTTGACATCAATTGAGGTTGAGGTAGAACTTGAGACTTGCATTGGATTAATTTGGCCTTGATGAGAATGTCCTCTTTTTGCATGTTTCCCACATCCCTGCCCCAGGTACATACAGAAAAAGTTTTTTTCTGTTAAAGACATGTACTTTATTACTATTGCCACTGAGAACTTGAGACTTGCTTGAACTTTCTGGGTACTGTGTCCCAGTGAGACTGAAAGATAGAGTCACAGCAAGAGTTGTTTGATTCATGTCTCTTTTCTTTTCTAGGGAAAAATCTTTACACCAATGAATACGTAGCCATCAAATTGGTAAGTAGCAGCATTCTTAGACTTCTTTTAAGAATTCTGTGTTTTGCTTGCGTAAAACCTGCCCATTTTTGTTTTAATTCATTTTTTCTTAATATAGCATCATGTTTCCATAACAGTGCCCTGGAACTTAACACTGCAAACTCCTAACTATTAGATCTTGGGTTTGATTCCAAGCACTTTCTGTGTGGAGTTTGCATGGTCTCCCAGGTCCTTAGTTTTTCCAGGTGCTTCAGTTTCCTCACACCTTTAACACGTGCTGACTAATTTGTCCTTGTGCGTGTGTTCATGTTTGGGTGTGCCCTGCAATGGCTTGGCCTCTCGTCCAGAGTGTAGGCCAGCCATGTGCAGCATGCTTCTGAGGTGATCTCCAAACTGCTTTAACACACAAAATACTCTTAAATAAAAGGCTGCATTTAGTCTGCCGTCAAAATCCACGTTTGTACAGGTGTCCCTGTAGTCCTTTAAATCATTCTTAGCAGTACCCCTAAAATACAGTGTAATGACTCTATTCACGGCTGGCTGGCTTTAAGTTTGCAAGAATCAGAATTGTTATTTGACAGGTATTGCATTTTGGTTTTACTGGCAAAGGGTGTGAAACATTTGCAGCTGTTTAGGTTCACTGACCTTAAAAATCCAACCTCGTCTATTTAATGGATTTGGGTTGCTTTTGGATTTTAATGAATTTTAGCTTGCTTACAACCTACAGTGTATCACTTTAGTATTACATGTTTAAATTTGCAGCTTGCGCAGTATTTTGCTCCTTTCCAACTTCTTTCATTTTGAAAGGGTTTGAGGTTCAAAGACCATGTTAAAGCAGCACAGATAGTGTCTGGATAATTGCATAGCTCAAAAGTGTAAAGAAAAAAAAGGCAGTTGTATCAGATGGGCTGTTTCTGGGGTAGAGTAGAGGAGGAATTTATTGCCTTATGTACATGTACATTGGAATTCTTATTTGTACCGATCTCTTGGGACATACACAGTACAACAGACAACACCACACAATGTAGACAGTTCATTACAAACAGAATAAATAAAAATAACCAGTTACTATTTATGAGCCACAGAGTTGCTCATTTGATTTGACAAAGGATGGACAGTGTTTCCCAGAGCTCCAGTTTAATGGAAGCATCAGACAGTCAAGATAAGAGCAGCAGAGCAACGCCTTCCTGAGCAGGTCAGTCTGTTAACTGGCAGTGTGTGAGCTGACGTCTGGCCAGCGTCAGACCACACCGTGTGTGATCCAGTAGCGGAGACTCCCTATGACAAAATGCTGAGGTAGAGTCTGGATTGCCGCTCTTGAATCCTGCCTTAATTTCCAGTCCCTGTGTCTTATCTCGTCTGGACAGTTTTTCGTCACTGCGGCTTTTTCGGTGTGCTCCATTAAGAACTCTTAACGGGGCGTGTCTTGTATGGGTTGCTCCCAAAACGGCAGGAGCTCGAGGGGCTGGGGTCTCGGTTCCAGATATTCAATTTCAGTTCCCACTTCAAACTGATGCCATGAATGTACAAAAAGGAATTGGAATTGAAAATCCGGAATCGATCCCATTCCTGGGCGCAACTCAGTGTAACTACTCAGGAACAGCCCATACAAGTGTACAGTAGTAGCTAATCCATCGCATCTACCAGTCAAGCTACTTGACTCATTGTTGGGATTTCCCTGTTATTAGCATGATTTGTTCCTCTCTGTACATCAAAAAAGTAAAAACCATAATTGTTGTACCACAAAAATAGAGATCTATCAGGATTAACAGTTACCTTAAAACCAATGGCTATAATTTTACTGGAAGATAGCCATAGAATTGCATTTCTGTTTTGAGAATGAAATTTGAGTAAAAAGAGCAGACCCCTGCAAAATGTTTAAATCTTTTGAACAGCAGTGTATGAGCTTTTTATTGAGTGACCTTAAATGGAGGATATTTTGAACCCCAATAATAATAAACTTTATTTTATATAGTGCCTTTAAAGGTGGCCCCTCAAAGAGAATGAGAATGAGAACAACTACAATAAAAATAAAAAATGGACACAAGATAAACACAATGAGAATACAGATTGGAGACAGTAGATGGTTGTACTAAATATAGTAGGAGCAGAGGGGTAAAGAACAGAACCAGTTAAATAAAGGCCCTTCTGAAGAAGAGGGTTTTGAATCCAGATTTGAAGGAGTTTAGAGAAGGTGACTCTCTGATATCCTTGGGGATAGAGTTTCAGAGCTTTGGGGCTTAACAGGAGAAGGCCCTGTCACCCATAGAGTGTAGATGGGCTTGGGGGACAGACAGGAGACCAGAATTAGAAGAGTGAAGGTTGATGTGAAATCTAATGATATAAAATTCTATGTGAGGCTCTCCATAATAACAAAGGAGACTTTATAAAAGGACTGAAATGCTTCTAACAGCATTACATTTCTTATGATATACTTAATTGCTCCTTTTTACAGTAAAGTCGCTTCCCAGTATCACCAAAGCACTAAAAAAGCTTTCGCCGTTGTTTTTAAAAACATTAATTTCTATTCGTATGTGGTATACTTTCACATTTTGCAAACACATGTTTCGAAGACAAACAGACCATCACTAAAGCAGAAAACCCTGTAATACTTGTCCTACTTTGCAACCTGTATAGTAAGCACTGCAGAAAGCAGTACCTGTGGGTATGTAAGGGTAGCTGTGCATTTGTGTTTGAAAAGCATCAGCAACACACTGACAAGATAGACTATAGGAAGTGCTGAAGCCTGGGTGCGTATCGCTGAGGTACCAGGCATAGATGTAAAGAATAGACTTATCACTGTGCCAGGCAATGGTCCTTTGATGTACCAGTTGCTAGGTAAGGTCTCGTTGCACGTTGAGATCAAATTTGCCATAAATCCCAGTTTAAAACCTGCTGGATTGTAGCTCTCCATGACCAGGGAGGCAACACCTGTTCTGGGAGGTGACAGTTTTATTTGCACAGCATTTCAGCAGGTAAAGTAAAAAAAAAAAACTCACAATGTTCATATTTGTCGTTTCACAAGTGCTGGATCAACCTTTTTTACCACAATAGGGACAATTGCTTCAGATCCTTCCCTGAAGCAGAATGCTTGGAATGCTCCCCTACCTCATCCCCCCCCACGCTGAGCTAGCAGAGAGGGATTAGAAAACCAGAAATGGGATTCGCTTCCCACTTAGCAGTTTCGCGTTCTTGATGTGATAGTAGTAGTTTGCCTGAGGGGCCACAGTCAAAAGCTCAGACCTCCCTCTGGAGGTGCCCTGAACTCCTGAGCCTTTCGAAACACAAGAAGGAAAATTGCCAGAATGAAAATTGGACTATTTCTTTTAGGAGTTACTCTAATAAGTAAACATCAGTGTATAACAGCTGCCTAGGAATTTGGAAGTCGAAGGTGGACTGGTTTTTATTTTTTTATTTTTCCAGGAACCAATCAAGTCCAGAGCACCGCAGCTACATTTGGAATACAGGTTCTACAAACAGCTGGGAAGTACAGGTGAGAGCTCATCGGCCTTCTTGTTTCACCTAGCCTTTCTCTCTGAAATGTGACATGCGAGCACAGCGGTTCTGAGGTCCACCGGCAATGTGAGGGGAATTTGATTTCACAGCCACCTGAAAGACTTTCACCAACACCTGCGCCATGTGATTGGAATCATCCCAAACCGACCCCGCAGGGGGAATTAAACTGGGCCTCGCAATCAGTGCTGTTTGTGTGACTGTCGCGGTCCCGCGCGGGCTCGTGCCCTCGCCGGTCCGTCCGGCAGCACCTGGCCGCGACCCCGGGTCTCCGGCGTACCGCCACAGGGAGCCAGCCGAGTGAGCTAAAGGAGACCTCCCCCAGCCCGGGCGGCTGACGTCACCGTGCCCACATCAGCTCCGCTACACTTGCCAGGAGAAAAAGATGAGCTACCCTGCTTTGACTCATAAGAACGGAAGGCTAACCCCGTTTGGTCTTTGGCAGTTCCTTGATCCGAGTCTCTCATCTAACCGTTTCTTCAGAGACACCAGGGTATTAATGTCAGCAGCACGACTGGGTCGCTTGGTACACATTCCCACCACTGTTTTGGTAAAGAAGTGCTTCCTGTGCTTGGTTTTTCTATGCACTGCCCTGTAGTTTCCAGTCGTGCCCCCTGATTTGTTGTTCCCTGTTCATTTTGAAGAAGTCCAATGGGTTGACATTCCCAGTGCCTTTGACAATTATGATTACTACTTGTCTCAGGTTCCCAATTCTTCTTTAATTCAGCTTCTTCAATTCAAAAACATTGTGCTCTTGGTATCCCAGCTGTCTGCGCAGTATCCTGTGATTCCATTGTTTTAAGTTTGACTTCATAAAGTTCTGTTTTTCTTTTGTTTTGTATGGGTGAGTTGAAGACTCACTTGCTTTTTTCACTTGTGAGTGTCCACTGGGATTTCTGTGTTCAACAGACAACAGAGAGATTAATGCAAAACTGAGATAATAGCGTTTCTTTCCTGAATTTCTACATTGCGTGGGACTAAATATTTTTTGAATGAGGCCCTGTGGGTTTTTGCTGTGATTTTGCCCCATATTTTGTGATTGAACGCTTGAAGTTGACAGGATGTTTGTGCTGTTGTTCATTAAATACACTTTCTAATTCTCTCAAAGGACCATAAATTATCATTTTATGCTGAGAATGTTAAGCACATACTGCTCTTAAATTAGAAGGAAGCATTTGTAAAGCTGTTGGTGTGCTTGTGTGTTGTAAAACATACCGATTGTAGTATGGAAAATGAAAAAATAAGGAACAGTGAATTTGCCATGATATAGATGTATCTCTATTTCCTTTTTTCATCTCTCCACAGTCCTTTTAAGTCTTGGTTGCAATTAAACGATTCAAAACACGAGTTTTTAATATTAATGTCAGTGTATGTGGTGAGCAAAGAGATCATTTATACCTGTTATGAACATGTCTTTCCTGTTCCTCTTTCGAGCCTTAAATACAATGTTTCGTATTTTTATCTTATAATGTCTACTGACATGTTTGTGATCAGCACAACTGGAGGAAACCAGAACCCATTTAATCTAATTTGTTTCTTTCGGCTCCCCCAAGATAGTTAAATAAATATCTGTAGGCATAAATATTTTGTATTCAAAAATGCCATAGTAGAAGCCAAGAGAAATTCATTACATGTGACTGCATTTAATCTTTCAAAGCCCTGCAATGGGATGTGCCAAGCACGATTTCAGATCAAGTGGCCTATTGCACAGCTCTGAAGACACTGGGCCCAACAAGGGGTGTTGTTAGGGTGGATGTGGCTCAGGGGGAGTTTGATGGCTCTGAGGCACGGTGGTTTTATTCTGGTGTTTGGAGCTGGCAGAACTCTGTCTGTTTCTATGTCCAAAATGCTCAAAATATGGTATGGCAAGGAAAACTGCTTTTACTAGAACTGGATAGCGGTTTGGTTTTAGTGGGATGGAAGTCGTGGCATGGTGGCATGCCGGTTAGTGCTCCTGTCTCACAGCTCTGTGGTCCTGGGTTTGATTCCGGACTTTTTTATGGAGTTTGCATGGATTTTCTCCAGCTGCATCATATTTGTTCATCTTCCAAATACACGCTGGCTAGGGTATTGAGTGTGGAAGTTGTCGCTGTGCTTTACCATGGATTGTGGATTGCTCTCCCGTCCAGGACGGACTATGGATTGCAGTGACCCCCACCAGGAACAGACAGGTTGCTGGGTGGAAGATGAAGGATGGATAGAGTCTGCCAAATGTGCCACCAAGCCGAAGCTGCATTAGAGTCTCACTTGCCCTCTGTAACGAGTGATTAGTTCAACAGAGGATGAGTGTCGCGTAGTGTATTTTCAAGTGAAAAGCCCCTTTGAGTTTTCAGCTGCAGAATAGACACTGCAGGCTCCATGTAAATTTCAACTGAACTTGTAATTATGCCAAGATTATGAAAATATGCCTGGTTTTTATTATATGTTGTATAGCATGGCTTTTTTTTCTTGAGAAACAGTAACAGGATACTTGCAATGGGGTGAGGTAACAGGATAATGTAGATCCATGGTCTGGCTGCCTTGCAGACCCCTTAGCGGTTTATTTCACAGATATAAACTCCTTTCCCTTTCTCACTCCGATACAATTTGTTTGCACTGTTCCCAGTAACACTGTGAACATGGGAAAGATGCAAATACTAGCTGGCATTGTCGCCGGACAACAGTCTGAAATAGTGATTTTTGTTTCCTGTGATTCTGCTGCCATATAGATGAGACACCTGTTTGATCTTGGAGATGCTGCCAGTTGTATTTCCTCTGTGGAGGATTATGTTGAAAGGACGCTGCTGTAATTCTCCTCTTTAATTCGACCGAGCTACAGACGTTCCCAGGGTCTGATCTGGCCCTTTTGCGGTTTACATTGTGGAAAGGGTTTTCATGAAATTCCAAAAAAATACCTTCTAACGGTGGTAGGGCAGGTGTTTCTGGGGGCTGTCGACACAGGGATAAAAGTCCCTGGAACATCCTTTTCTGTCCTCAGGTTGACACAGAAGCTCTGCCGATTTGCATTGCAGAAATCAGATGAGCTGTCCCTTGGCTGCTGGGAATAGCTTGTAACTCGCCCACATAAAGGCAGCATCATAAAGTGTCTGGATGGGCGGTTTCGGAATTGCGTAATTGGGTATAAAAGGGCTGGAATAATTCTATATTCTACTTTTGGAAAGAAATAGGGATATCACAAGCTTGAAAAGGTCAGACCTCATCAAACACTATTCTGAATCTTTAAGTGGACTTATTTAGATGTGTTTCCAGTAAATATCTGCTTCAGACCCAGGACTGACACTGGGACCAGACAGGAGAAGCGGAATTGGACGATCTAAATCAATCACCAATTAGATGCCCTTTTTTCCCCACATAGAGAGTGGTAGAGGTGGGATTCTATGCTCAGGCAACCAGTTTAAAGCCACCCTCCATTAGGAGTGCTTTTATTTAAAACAAATTTATGGATCCTTAATTGAATGTTCTCTTTAGTCAACTCTTATTTTCAAAGCAGAAAACAAAAACTGGTATTTCTTATATTGTTTTATATTTCCCTATTTATTACCTTTGCTTTCTAAATGTCAAAGCCTGTTCCTGATTTCAACTAGAACCAAATGTAAAATGATAAAATTAGTCATCAGTGAGCATCACATACTACCTTTTATGGCAAAAAAGTAATGATTGGTGCAGAGTTAGTACACCACTTTTCGTTGGCCCACTGTCTATGTTGTTTTTACCACGGTAAAGGGATTGTTGACCCATATAAAACACGGAGAATTCAAATGTATACACAAGTGGTTGTATAGTGTGTCTAGGATTATGAATCCCCTGTGAAGCAGGCCTGGAAAACAAATTTGAAAAATGATCTCGTGACTTCTCAGTGAGGTGTATTCAGCATGTGTATGGTCTCCATTACATTTATACATTTGATTTTTCAGAATTCTTTTCCCCACCCTTTTTTAATATTAAACCTCCTGCCTTTTTGGGTAATGGTTTGCCAGAATTAACACAAGTGAAACAAGTGTAAAAACTCACCTTCTTTTAACTGTTTTTCCACTGCCTCGTATGGCCCATAGGATCCCCATTTTTTTTCTCATGTGTTCCTTTATTTAAATAGATAAGTGAAAAGATAACAAATTCTCATTTGACCTTTAGAGTTCTTATTTATATAGCTGAGCATCTACTGGAGCTGTTCTAGAGTATCTACGCCCCACTGTGATGATTTCACAACAGTTTTCAGTAAATAATGGATTATTTGTGACCACATTGCCATAAATTGTGACTGCATTTTTTAATTGTGTGCAATATTGCAATATTAAATTCAGGGCCTTTGAGAAGGAATAGTTAACTGTTTTGTGGAGTGGTGCACTGACTGTTTGGCACGAACATAGATGTCCCCTATAGGTTTTCTTTACAGTTGGACAAAAGGCTTGTCAGGATGAGGAGATCTCAGGGAAGCGAGCACCAGAGGAACGCCCAAGCTGGCTGCTGCTCCTCTTCTATCTGAGCGGAAACTGATCAATTATTTAGAGGCCTGGGCCGCCTTCACCAGCAGCAACCTGCTTCCCATTCCAGATGAGGTAAACTGATCCCATTCCAGAGTGCATGTCTCCCAGCCCTGTGGGATCCTGAGGTTCACTGTGACTCAGCCTCTCTGGTGCGAGGCTGCTTCTTCACAGCGGCTGGGCCAGACTCCGGATTCGGGATAGCGTCATTCTGCCTTCGACGTTAGTGAAGGATAAGATTAGGGATGTACTTGAGGCAAGTGATCAGATCCGTTCAATCTTCACGCTCAGCCTTAAGACCAGGAACAAAGGGAAGGCCTGAGGGGAGGAATCCCCTTATCTAGTTTGACACCACACTGTTACTGCAGGATAATGCAGAGGTATACACAAAGGGGGAGCTTTTCTTCATGATGTAAAATCTGCACTGTAACTCAATGAGGTAGCCAGGTACAGTGCTGTGAAGTATAACTAAAAAGCCTGTCACTGTGATTAATCATCT